GGCCGTTATGTTGTTTGCCATTCTAAGTTGTATAAAAAAAAGGTGAGCCGTCAGCTTGTTTGCCATTCTAAGTTATGAAAAAAAAGCATAGATTGCCACTCTACTTCAGACGTATAGTTATCTTGTTTGTTATTGAAAGTTGTATAAAGAATTCATAATAAAACTACAATTCTAAACGACTCTTAAAACTATCTCCAATGCTCTCCGGCACCTTTACATTAAGTAAAATTAAATTTAGGTACGCATCCCTTATTTATCACTTATTGATAACATGATTTTTATATTTCGTCATAGTCGTAGAATACTGACGGATCTTTATATGTAATATTCGTCAGATCCGTCATTTTACATTCACAAAAAAATAATTTTGCGTCTTTTATACGCGAACACCACATGCACTATTATAATATTTAATAAATCATTAACAATAACAGAAGATTATCTGAATAATAAGTAGATTATGAACTTATGTCTAAGATTTTCCGCAATAAGCTATATCTGCTGTTGATGGATCCAAAATTGATGTCAATTTGATCGCTTCGAAATTCTGTCTGTTCATTATCCTCTTTGTTTCTAATAACACAGAGTAATACAAACTATATTTCTCTCACCTTTAATCGTTCATAACAATGTCCCTGTGAGATAAGAAAAAAATCAACGATCACAGAATATAAAAAATCGTATTAAACTAAACAAACCGACCAGCAAATTTATCACACATACAAAAATATATACCTATCACAATCGGCGATCGATTATAACTTAATCGAGTTACAATTTATAGAAATAATCGGTCGTTGATTTATACCATGTATGCGAATGCACAATCGAATTGCGGCCTTAGCTTATTAGTAATAAAATCGTTTTTTTATAATATCCGCTTTATCGCGTACAACTACAAATTGTATGAAGGTTATATCAAAGAGCCGAGTATGCGCCGTTTGATCCTCACCTCTGAATAAATCAAGAAAAAACGACGTCCGATGAGTAATATCCGAGCGTATGTAGCCTGTTTTGGATAGAGGATGTGTGGAGCTGAATTAACGAGGCATTTTTTTACAAGAAAAAATAATGTAGTTCAGTGTCTAGTGTTGTATATTGAACGAGTATAAATTAATCGATAGCGTTTGCTTAAAAATAATTCGAGTATCGATTAATCTACCGATAAAATAGGTATCTATCAATTTAATTGAAATTTAACATAATTTAATCAGTTTTAATGTAAATAGATATTGTCTGGAATTGATTTGATCTTAAAATTAATCTTTTTGCATTATAAATAGTACGTGTATATCAAAAGGAATTTGATGATCACCATGATGATGTATTGAACCGTAAAAGCGCCAACAAGTTATAAACAAATAATCTTATTTTACAATCTTTTCACAATATGCGATTAAACGACATTATTTTAATCGATTATAATTTATTAATTGTTAATAATCAATCACAGTATATTATCGATTTAACCAATTATTCGATTATTCCGAATCGAATGAACAATTAATAAATCGTATACCTACAACAATTATTAAGCAACACTAACATGATATTTATTTGACCGTAAAAGCGGGAATGCTTTTTGAGCACACTTATTTAAAATGCTTGTACTTAAGCCTGCACATTGAAAAAGACTAGAAATAAAAACTAAAGTTTCTGGCTACTGAGAAAAAAGATATTAACATTAGTATCTTGTGCATTTTAAATTCTATATTATTTATACTTTTATGAATAAGTAATAAATAGGAATGTTATTTTAAAGATGTTTTTGTCTAGTTTACAAGACATTTGTAAAAATATCTCGAGTATAAATAAAATTCAAATTTTTTGGTCTGATATAAAAATTCAATAGTTAGAATGTTAAAAATAAAAGTTAAAAATGTTAAAAATAGTATGTTAGCTATTAGATTTACCTTTACAAAAAGAATAACATTAAATGTAAATAGTTTTTTGCTCTAAAAATAAGTAAAAACGCAAAATAATATAAAACTAAAATGGAAGTAAACCCAATGTAATGCAAAAATAATAATTGGCGACATAATTGTGTAATACATGTACAAAAAAAAAACACAAACGAATTGAGAACGTCCTTCATACGAATTGAATTTCATAATGATGACTTTTTTATCTCACCTCTTCTCGTTCCGCTGAATCGGCTTTCGTAATCACACGACGCCATTTTTTTTTCGTTGATATGTGTCACTGTTAGGCCAAGCTCCTTCAAGAAGGAAGCTTGGCCTAACAGTAGATAGATAGATAGATAGATACTCTTTATTGTTTCCTCCAAAAGATTACAATAGTAAACTTATTATAAATATAAATAATTACAAGAAATAATCATAATGAGAAAACAATGGGCGACCTTATCGGATGTGATAAAGAGAGTAATTATAAACAATTTGGTAGGAAGCACGATGAAAAATTTTGTTAGTTCTAGATATGGGAGATGTAACATATAATATAACATATAATAATATAAAAATTATTAAAAAGTAGGACATTTGACATACAGGTAGTGTGCGGCCTGTCTCGTCCCTTCTTTTTTACAGCCCCGAAAAGGCATTTCTTCACAACGTTGCAATCGAGTAGCCTTATGACATGTTCGTACCATCTTAGCCACAATTTTTTCTACAGTAGGTGCTACCTTACAACTACCCCGTATGTACTCGTTGCGCACTTAGCCCCTAAAAATAATTTCACTCGCATTTTAATAATATGTAGTTTTCAGCTGATTTTAAAAAGAAGAAAGTTTCGGTTGTTTTTTTTTATATTTATTACCTCATAACTTCGTCAGTTGTAACTCGATTTGGAAGATTAGTCCCATACAAATTTTATCAAAATCTATTCAGACGTTTAGTTTTTAAATAAAAATAACTGGTTTTGCTACAACTGAATTAAATTTTGTTTTGTAACACAATTTAATCACTGTTCGTGAGTTTGCTCATAAAATTCTGAGTGATGTCAATTAAAATAGTTATATATATATGTCGACTCTATAGATTTTAACCACGTCTATAGTCCATACTAATTTAAACTAACCTAATGCAGGAGAGATGGCCCTCAACACATATTAACAAAAACAAATAACACAGTCCCAGATAGACTCACACCAGTGTAATTTCATTTAACTAATGATTATGAAAATAGATTACGGTTTAATGTTGTACTTTCGAAATTTTTTAAAGTAAATAATGACATATTAAATTTATTACAGATTATTATATATGGAATCGCCCAGTTGTAGCTGAACCTTGTCAATTATTTATGTTGTAATAGCTTTTACCCGTGGCGTCGCTCGTGTGATCAAGATGAAATACCAGAGGGAGACTTTGTACAAAAGTCGATTGCTTGGGTACATCTGTCCCATTCGTGATTCAACCGTGAAGCAGTTGTGTTTGCATGGCTGTGTTTCGGTTTGAAGGGTGGGATATGGCGTGAATTTACTGGGTATAGAGGAATAACACCTGAGTTCTCAGGAATGCAACGCATGGGGGCATCATGGGCGAAACAGTTTACTCTGTTATGTCCATGGTACTGCTCATGTCTATAGGCGACGGTTACCACTTTCCATCAGGTGGACCGTCAGCTTGTTTACTATTCTAAGTTGTATAAAAAAAGATGAATTCTAGCCTACGTTCTTCTCCATCTCAAACAATAGATATTCTTCAAAATTTCATTTTTTTTAATTAAAAAAAAAATCAATACCAAAACGAGTACCTCCTTATTTTTTTAAGTTGGTTAGAAATAAAAAATCTTTGAAGGAAGAAACTGCAATCTTTTTAGGAAAATACACACATAAAAAATAAATTCCCGGCATAATATCGTTTACAGTTCTAAGAGGCTATTTAATATGACACATCATATTAGTGGCTAGCTAACGGTAGCACCTGGCATTGCTCGCTATAACGAGCTCACAGTCACGCAAAGGAGCTAGTTAACATAACTTACACGAGCGGATACGAGGTAACCTTCTGTTATTATGGTTAACTTTTTTAGGGCGGAATTGTTAGATTTTTTAACTCTAATAATAAATATTGTACTTTTTAATGTTTATTTACCATTGTATAATGCTGTATTGTACATTATTAATATAACTGTTTGTATTAAAATAAATTCAGTATATATATAATTATTTTATTACGTGTGTAAATAGGACTTACGATATTTTTTATATTTAAAAGTTAATTGTACGCACACTGCCCGCTGGTAATTAATGCTTCTTTCCACTCAGGGTTTGCTAGAAGAGAACTCTTACAGAGTTAAGCTCGCCTGTTGTACGTCTTCATTTAACTATGTAATTTTCGTGTATAATAAAGTATAAATAAATAACATTACATCTTACGATTTAATTCATATTTTTTATAAAAATGGAACTTATCTACCAGAGGGAGACTCTGTACAAAAAATGTTTGCTTGAACACCTCTGTCCTATTCGTGTTTCTACCGTGAAGCAGTTGTGTTTGTATGAATGTGTTTCGGTTTGAAGGGTGGGATATGGCAGTGAATTTAAAGGGTACAGTGGAATAACGTCTGAGGTCTCAGGGATGGCAACGCATGGGGGGTATCATGGGCGAAACAGTATAGGCGACGGTTACCACTTTCCATCAGATGTGCCGTCAGCTTGTTTGCCATTCTAAGTTGCATAAAAAAACTTACTTTCATTTAGAAAATATAGTATAAAGTAGTTTTCCTGATTTTAACATTTTTTTTTATATTTATAGAATATAAATAATCTTTATTCAAATAGACTTATTTACATACTGTTTTAAATCGTCATTTTTTGTACAAGCGACGGTTACCACTTTCCATCAGGTGAGCCGTTAGCTTGTTTGTCATTCTAAGTTGCATAAAAAAAAAAAGTAAAGTGTTGCCCAACCTCCACTAGATGTTGTGTCGATCGCAAATTAATGGCCGTTACATTATTATTATAAACGAGAAACTGAATTTATTTGTGGTATATTTACTCAAGTTCGATAAATAAATAATTATATTTGTTACAGCATCAAGCCCCCATCAAAGGACGGCGTTACGAAGAGCAACCCTAGTAAACGTCACCGCGAGCGGCTCAACGCTGAATTGGATACCTTGGCCTCCCTGCTGCCCTTCGAGCAGAACATCCTCAGCAAGCTGGACAGGCTGTCCATCTTGCGGCTATCCGTCAGTTACCTGCGAACGAAGAGTTACTTCCAAGGTATGTATGAAAATAGAATGATAGCCCAGCTTACCCTGTAGGTATATATATGATGGCGATTTACCAGTGAGGAAGGATAGGTAAGGATGAAGTCAATTCAGTTGACCCATCGTGATAAATTCACCAAGAGTGAACCATGATGGTTTCCAGGAAGACTGTGCGAAGGTCAATCAGATAAGGGGATTATAAACAATAATTCTCAATTTTTTATTTCTAACACAGCTTTTGCATTTCAAGATATGTGTTTTTAATTTCTTTTTTTATAGTTAAATTAATATTTCTTCACAAAAAAAAATTATTTTTATGTTATCTAGTATCCTGGTGTAATAATTTGGAGTTGTATAATAGTTCAAGCTTTGTTTAGTTTCGAAATAGGTGGCGCTGTGTAATACATATATAAATATATATATATATATATATATATATATATATATATATATATATATATATATATATATATATATATATATATATATATAGTTACATTTATTTATTTTACTTTTATTTTAGTGGAAAAAAAATCATAAGCAAATTGAAAATATAATTTATTCAACAAAAATATACAGATGCAATTACAAGATACATATACATTACATATTGATTCACAGTAAGTGTCCCTATCCTTCATGCTAAGAAAATCCTGTATTTTTTTTTTGATGGATGAAAATGGAATAGTAACCCCGCCTGCGCTAATGGGATAAAGCACCAGTGAAGGGTGATAGATGAGAATGAAAACAGAAAATGAATTCATAGAATTAACCATGATAGTTTCCAAAACTGCGAATGGAGGTCGACCTGGTTGGATATATTGCTAGCAATGGGATTTTTAGTTTCCATTACTAACAATCCCTTTCCCCCCAAATCCTGTATTATGAAGGTCTGGCTACCGTATTTTAGATAATTAAATTTCCTATATAAATATTTAGAGAATTACAGAAAATATAGAAACTAAGGTTAAACTGCGAATAGATAAATACGATCTTACTCACAAAATTTTTATAACTGTCTTATCTTTGTAATTTACAAGTGCATTAAAGTATATATGTATTACATAGCATATTTATCAATAAAAACATATCCTTGGCTGTTAAATTGGTTACACAGGTTATTCTGGGTTTGTTGTACGCGTCCGTGTAGCTTAACTTCAGGCTGCAGCTGAAAATCAGTGCTTTGCTTTTAAGCAAAACTATCACTGAGCTGTAGCCTATTTGGGTCACTGCGACACACATGGCGGAACCATATTTTCTTATTTTATCTTTTGGTTTTTTATTTAAAAAAGTGTATATAATTTGATTGTATAAACTCATTTGTAAATTTACGTGTGTCAGAAATGGCTTAAATAAAAAGTTTATCTATCTATCTATCTATATAGCAATCATATATAAATTCAGTGCTTTAAAATAATCACCAACCTAGCAATATTATCGCAAAACGAGAGCGCGCGTTATGAATGCAGCAAAAATATCTAGAATTTCATTCTGGCAACATTAACCGTTTACATCCATAATGTTGCCATTACAAAACGATTAACATCGGAGTTAGAATCGATCGTTGCATACCAATGTATCGATTACTTACAAATGTACCGAGCGACACGTATTTAATGTTGTCAGCCAATTTTATTGCACTCTACAACCTGTATTAATAAATGAGCCCGTTCGATTCGCGTTTTCGATTCTTGTGAATTGTAATCGATATTTGACTCGATTCTTTCTTATTATAGGTATTTTCATTTAATTAAAATACTTTGATAATTTAATATATTATTGTGAAATAATGTTAGTTTAAAGGAAAGTGTTATTTAATAAAAATGAGAACAAGTATACTACTTTGTGACTTGGATATGTGGAAATAATGTCGGATAATCGATTTAGTAAACACTTGTTTTATTCGATTTAGATACTATTAGTAAAGATCAAAATTAATTTATTTTGATAATTTAACCAAAACTAGAGACACTTCAAGTCGTTGGTGAATAAGTATCTTTTAGGTAAGTGCGCTCCATCCTAGATCTTATAACACTTGCCATCCGGTAAGATAAGATCAAGCGAACATCCATCTTGTAATAAAAAAAGAACTTAATTTAAAAAATTAATAAGTCATATTTTAGCTTTTCTATCAGCTATTTATAAAAACACTGTTTTTGAAACACTTTTTTTATTATTTATTTTTATTCTTTACTTTGTTTAAAAATGTTGTTTATTTCTTATAATGAATTCAAATTATTTAATTAATTTTAATTTATTAAAATTTAATTATATCAATACTATATCCATAGTATCATATATGTAATTATATATGTAGTTAAATTCATTATAACTGAGATTAAAGTAAAATTTTTAACATTTTTAATTAATCACCATTCCTATTCTTCTTTTATTAATTACCATTAGAAATTTTATCAATAGTAATTCCAAAGTTAAATCCCAAATTTCAAAATTAAAGGAACAACACGCTGCGCCCTCTTTTAATCGAACGCGTAAATCTTTGGCCCACTTTGCATACGCCCGCTACCAACCTATGCGTATATATCACTTAGTGAGTTATTAATGCCCTTTATAATTTTATATCGTAGCAGTATCGAATATAAAAATCAGTAGGGGGCAGTTGGTACGTGCTTTATAGAGTGCAGCCGAGACGGAGGGCCCGACGAGTTGCGACTTGCGACCCCACTCGGTACAGTGGCGACGAAATTATTTCATTATTTAATCTTCATCACTTAAGCCTCCCCCATAGACTTTGTGGTGTTTTGCCAATAGTTGCCACGCTTGGCAGACGGATTGGTAACCGCAGTTAGACTTTGGAGATGTTGTAAGAGAGGCACTGTTGTCCATCCCTTAGTCGCCTCTTACGACATCTACGGGAAAGGAAGGTGGCCTATTCTATGCAGGGACCACATGGGTAATTTTATTTAATCATTTACTTGCTAGGTTTTACCCGCGACTTTGTCACAGATTGGCGATTAAAAGTGATCCATCTCATATAGTTTGTTTTTTTTTTAATGGGCGATAATGGAATGGTAACCCCGCCTGCGCTATCAGGATACGCTGGCGGAGCACCAGTGAAGGATGATAGGTGAGGATGAAGTAGGTCAGTTGGCCCATCGTGACGAATTCAAAAAGAATTGTTCACGATGGTGTCCAGGGGGAACCACGTGGATGTTGACCTAATAGGGGTTATTGTTAGCAATGGGGCTGTCAAACTCCATTGCTAACAATCCCTTTCCCCCCATCTCATATAGTTATATCATGTATACTAAATGTACGTGTATACTAAATTTTATATGATACTAAATTGATATTTGTGTATTCGTCACGATAGGCTGGTCTACTTCATTCTTTCCTATCATCTTTCACTGGTGCCCCGCCAGCGTATACCGATAGCGCAGGCGAGGTTATAATTCCATCATAGTCATTTAAAAAAAAAACAGTAGTTATGCTATTTATTTAAAAAATATAATTAGTATAAAAAAAAACAAAATTAAAAAAATTTTTAGAAGTCGTTACTTAAAAACGACTTAATTTAGTTAAATTTGAATTTTTATATAAAAGTAAATTTTCAATTTAAGTTTATCTATATCTATACTTGTAATAAATCTGTAGAGAGGTCAATTCTGTACATGAAATATATTTCCAAAATAACTATCAGCGGGTGATTAGTGATCGATACTGATGCCAAAAATGCAATCAGTAAAATTTTTGTTTGTCTGTCTGTATGTTTGTTATAAAAACAAAAACTACCCGACGGATTTTAACGAAACTTGGCACAATTATTCTTCATACTCCTGGGCAGGTTATAGTATACTTTTCATCACGCTACGATCAATAGGAGCAGAGCAGTTAAGGGAAATGTTGGGAAAACGGGAGAAGTTACTCCATTTTTAAGCTTCCGTCGCGTGTGCAGCCATAATGGCCACTTTTTTAAATGTAAAAATGTCCACCCGTACGACGCCGGGACGGGCCACTAGTGTTTTAATATTTCTAATCCCATCAAAGATCATAAATACTTACTAATATTATAAATATGAGACGGAATTTGTTTGTTCATTACTGTATGACGCCAAGGCAATTACTATGAAATTTGTTTTACATTTACTATATGGGATAGAGATACTTTATGGGATCCCAGACACGCGGACAAAGTTGTTGTTCAAAGCTAGTAAGTACTAAACAAATAATTAACATTACAAAGTCACATACACATCTTCCGAGTAACTTTTATACGCCAATGTACTTCGGGAAATATCGATTATTCGAATTAAATCGATTGTTGAAGCATCGATTACACGGGATCTTTGGATCGGTAAAGATTTCGGCGGCGCACCGCGGGGCACTTTTCGTTGCTACAAGTACTCGTAGTCCGACAACGTTTACAGAAATGCTCAGCACCGGTAGCCTTGGTAAGTTACGACCAAGTTCTTGGTAAGCGCGCCATTTGTGTGAATAATGCGACCAACACAAACGTATTTCATTATTTGCCATATAAATTTATATATATAATACTTTTTATACAAACGTATGAGTAAAATTAGCTGTAATGAGTTAATGATTGATGATTTTTATGTTTGGATTAAAATATAATGGCCGCGTGGTACCGGCATAGCCACACCTACTATTCATCTGGAATGGACACGATGGTTTCCAAGAGGAACCACGTGAAGGTCGATCTGGTAGGGTGTATTGCTAGCAATAGCCGTATCCGTATACAAACAATCCCCCCTCCCCCCATAATCTTATTGTTTGTCCACATGAAAGAAAGCTAATATTTTTAGGTATAACTATACATATATAAATGAAAGCATGTGGCGAATATACTCACCAGAGGGAGACTTTGTACAAAAGTCGATTGCTTGGCCACCTCTGTCCCATTCGTGTTTCTACCATCAAGCAGTTGTGTTTGCATGGCTGTTTCGGATTGAAGGCTGGGCTACGGCAGTGTATTTACAGGGTACAGAGGAATAACACCTGAGTCCTCAAGAATGGTAACACTTGGGAGGTATC